CTAATGCTGGTCTCAAGGGACAGATTCCTGCAGGGCACAAGCAGGCAGGGGCTCTTATCAGAGGCAAGGACTTACCTACTGCAGCACAGGTTACTGAGCCCAGACTGTGGCAAGGTAGAAAGAAACACAAATTCTTCCTTTTTTCTTTTGTGATATAAGATTTTCTTTTATTTGACCCAGAGTTTACCAAAATGGTAACTGCATCAATGCTAAATAAAAAATGGATTACGTCTTCCAGCAGCTCATTCTTCATGGTTCAAAACTAGCCTTATGGAAGCAGAAGGAATCACCTTGGAAGTCCGTGGTTTTGTAACCAGAACCTCCCTTCCAATTAGTCATATTATAGGGCTGTAAATACAACAGTTCCATCAATAGTATGGAACAGTCATGCTACATTTGTATTAACATAAATGAGCGCTAATGTGCCACAGAACTAATCTGATATGACAGTAATTGGCCACTGCCCAGCAATGGAGGCCTGAAGCTATGCTTGCTCCCTCTTCTCTGCAAGAACTGTTCCTTCAAAACACCAGAAAGGAAACAAACTGTGACACCGCATTGTGTCTGCCAGTGGGAAGCAATGCCCCTTGGTACTGCAGCACTGCAGTGCTTGGCCTCTTATTTCTCAAGGGTGTTTGTTGTGAGAGTAGAATTTGATCTTTTACAAAGTTAAGTATTGAGAAATAAGGGTTCACAGAACATCTCAGAAGACTCGATCTGCCCAGAGCTCCGTAAACGCTGTGTGGAACACAATCTCAAACACTGCCCATCTCCTGCCTGGGCCACAAAACCAAGCGGACAGGTTCTCAAAAGCAGGCTGGCACCTTTCAGGTCACAGTCACCACTTATTTTGCTATTGGAAGTACGCCCTTGAACGCAAGGTTAGTCTTTTCAAAGAGACAGACCCTCTCCCTTTCATGAGAGAGGCTGACAAAGCCACAGCAGTTCTACCTTACCGTTCTGCATTTCCCTCATCAGCACCATTTGCTGTCTGATCGTACAACGTCCAATGCTGAGCCCACGCCATGCTTCTAAACCCGCACGCTCCAACCACAGACCCGTGTCCATCAGACACCCTTCTTCCCATGCTAAAGACACACAAACCTTGGCAAAAACAACTCAAACCACGGCCTGGCAGAGCCCAGGACAGATGTGGGAGCAGCTGGTGAGGATAAGAGATGACTTTATGACAAGAGGTGCAGGAAGGTACCTCAGCCAGAAGCCTGAGGAGCTACGAGATCCTTGTTTAGGCTCCAGATACAACTTAAATCTTTAGCTTAAATCTTTTTAGGTCTCCCATCTGCTGCTCCACCTGTGAAAAGGGGACAGGAAAAGCAGCGCAACCTCCGCCGCAGGGCTCCGAGTCTCCATCGCCGTCTACGGAGCGTTCCGAGAGCCGCGAAGGAAAGCAGCCATTACCGACCCCCAGCCTTACCCCTACACCAGCACACGGCTCTTCCCGGTGCCCTCCAGAACCACAGCGACGACGGAACGCAACGGAGAGCGGCGCACACAGAGATGGGAAAAGCGGCTTCGCCGAGCGGCAGCACCCGGCCCAAGAGGGAAAGGAGCGGCCGCCCGCCTTTGTTGCGGCCCCGCCACCGCCCGCGCCCCGGGGAGAACGCGGCCCGCCGCCGTACCCACCTGCAGAGCCCGCACGCGGCGCCTCGCCTTTCGCCTTTGTTATGCATGCCCGGCAGCGCCGAGCCCGGCTCGCAACGCCAACGCCGCCGCCCGCTCCTCAGCGCCGCGCCGGGCCCTGGCTCAGCCCTGGCTTAGCCCGTCGCCACAGCAACGGCGGGCGCGCGGCAGCGCGTGCGGCGCAGGGATCGGATAACGGCAGCCGCGCAACGGCCCCGCCCGCCGCGCGCCCCTGGGAGAGGGAGGGGCGGGGCCGCGGCTGAGGGGAGAAGCGCGGGGGGCGCAGCGGTCCGAGGGAAACGGTGTGTGGGAGATGCAGCGCCCTGCGCTTGGGTCCTGAGTCCGAGGAACCCGGCTGGCAGAGGGCGCGGCGGCACCTGGAGCTCCTCGTGGCCGATCCAGGCTTCCGTATCGATCGTTTAGCGAACGGTCTCCTCATTAAAGAGTTTTTCACCTGGAGGATGACCCGGTGCCATAGAGATCTATCGCAATGATCTCTGTGGCTCCCCGCACCAAGAGCTGCCTCCCTTCCTTATGGATGTTCATTTATACATAGCCCTGCTTGGAGAAAGCTCTGCTTTCTCAGTGCTTGAGGTAACGATATCCTGCGGCTGTTTGTACCGTGGAAATCAGCAGCAGGAGGCTGTGATGAAAGATGAAATAGAACCTGGAAGAGACCTCTAAGATCATCCAGTCCAACCCATGCCCACTAGCCACGTCTCTCAGTGCCACATCTCCACATTTCTCAAATGCCTCCATGGATGATGGCTCCATCACCTCCCTGTGCAGCCTGTGCCACTGCCTCACCACTCTTTCTGAGAAGATATTTTTCCTAATATTTATCCTCAACCTGGCACAACTTGAGGCCGTTCCCTTCTCATCGTTTTCATTGTCCACCTGTGTACCTCCTGTCCTGCTCAGTGCTCCATTGCAGTCTGAATGGCCAGGGGAAACCCTGCTCTTAGAGGCATTGCCTCAAGCCCATGCCTGTCTGTGCTGGAGATCAGTTTCAGGTGGCACCTTTGGCAGAGCAGCTACTGTTCCTTATCCATAACCAACAGAGGGATTTGTTTTCCAGACTTTTTAGTGCTGCTGAAATGGTTGCAATAAAGCTCCCGTATAGCTTTACTGAGGGAAAGGAAGAAACAAAACCATGTGACAAATTGGTCCAATTTATCACAGCAACAGAAAACTGCAATTCAGCTAAATCCCACAGGTCAGGTTAGCCTGTATCAATATTTAATGACCAGAGCTCTGCTGCCTTCACAGCTCCAGCTCCACCTCTGTCCCTGCCCTGTGTCACCCCGTAGTCAAGGAAGGCACCCCTGCTGCAAGGCACGCTTTGCCATCAGGCAGGCGTGCTGCAAGCCCAAAGAGACGCAGCCATATTGAGCCCCACTCCCACTAGGTCAGCCCACCTGTGCTGCATTTCTGCCTGCAGACAATCTCAGTTCCCTGCTTTCTGGGCATGCCTTTGGGACAGCAGTGGGAGCAAATGATGGGCAGTGTTGGAGCATGAGGCAAAACCTGGACAGCTATGAGCCCAGCAGTGGTGAAAAGGGCAGCACCCGGGCAGAAAGGGCACTGCAGAGGGGCTGGCAGCCTTGGCTCTGCTGCTTGTACATGGCCACACTTCCTCACTGCTTTGCTGCCTTGGTTCACCTGGTGTGTAAAATGGAGATATTGAGATCTCCCGGTGATAAGAACAAAATGTAAAGAGGTGTTCTTAGTTATTAGGGCAGGGGAATTTGCTCTTCTGGGCTGGTAATAAATAAGCCCACAACTTGAATTCCTCCAGCAAGGCTGCACCTCTCACCCAGCTCTCCATCCACTTAAAGAAAAAAAAAAAAAGAAAAAAAGCCATCATCCAGCAAATAGTATATTTCAATGGGGGAATTCATTACTCACTCCAGTGGCAGTGAGTGGCAGAGGTCATTAACATTACAATAAATGGCTTTTTGGTGAAATGTTCTATAATTCACTTGGTATTTAACACTGGCTAGGGGGCCTCATCTCTTTACATAAAATACATTAAGAAAAGCACCTCTGTGCACATCGCCCTGTGTTAAAGAGCTGTTATAATGACGGTGATTAGGAATAAACATAACAGCAGAGGCTGCTGCCTCAAAATAGTTTGGGTCAGTGGCTGTACAGCAGGAGATACAATGACGTGTGGGGAGGACAGAGGCAGTGTATTTGCAAGGGAACAGGTGGTTAGGTGGTTTGCTGCAGTTCACCTGGGGAAGCTGGGCATTTTCCAGCATTAGAGCTTGGCAGCTGCTGAGGAAGATTTCATCCCCAGCTCCTCCAAGTCTGGTGTTCATAGGGCACCTGGTTTCTGATAAGCATGGTCTAAAACTAATAGCAAGGCTGTGCAGAACATGTAATTCAACAGTCACATGTGAGCGCCCTGTCAGATAATGGATTTTTTCACCAGTTAACTCTCCAAGAAGGGAGCTGAGAGCCAATTCAGTGCCTTCCAAATCACTGTGCCTGCTAAAAAAATTAACCCAGAGCACAGCTCTTCCTCCTGGCAGCTGCCCAGTTATTAATTTCAATGTATCAGCTGCGTCTGAATGGCCTTGGATTTCTGCCTACTATTTCTATTTATTTGTTTTCCATTCATCACTAAAATTAAAACCTTCTAGAGAAGATGGAAAGCAAACACACTGAAGCAATATTGCTGTCCATACACAATTGGCAGAAACCACTGTGCTTTTTCTTCCTTTGCAGTATTAAGACTTTCTGGGTCTCACCTAATGAATACTTCATTAGTAGTGTAGGCACCCACTGCAGTCTTGTGTTCTCCTTTCTTTCTGTGCAGATTGGTCAGCTGTGGCCTTTGGCCCTCGACTACAGGTTTTCACCATAGACCAGGTGACAGTGATCGTGCTGGAGACCTTTCTGAATTAAACGATATCCGCGTGGTTTAAGATGAGGGTGGTGGTGCAGATGGCCACACTGACACTATTGATCCCATTTAACAGTTTGGACTGTGACCATCTTACACTGCAGTGCACTGGCTGTGCAAGGAACTGCATGCTTTTAAAGGAAAACATACAGTTAGGCATACAGCCTAACAAAATCTTTCTTCTTCTTGCTTTTTCACTTGTTTCTAAGCAAGAAGTGGAGATTCCTCAGTCCAAGCTTTGCCTGTGCTGACCACAGTTAGCTGTTCTACCCTGCTGGAAACACCCAGCCTGTTTCCTACTTGCCTGAGTTCTCATGTCTTAATCTGTTCTGAATCCACCTTCACCTCAAAGCACATCAGCCCAGGCTTTTATAAGGGAATAATTTTTTATGCATCTGAGTGCAAGTAGTAAGTGAAAATGCAAAGAATATATACAGTCAAAGCTATATAAGTTACAAAATATCTGTATTTACAACTACAGTACTTAAATCCTTTTTGAAACAGTTACAAAATATCCTTATTAGCAACTACAGTATTTAAATCCTTTTGGTATTAGCACAGTCAATATTTTACTGCTGATGCGCAGAAAGATTCTTAATAAGGTAAGTAAAATAAAACCTTGTTCTTTTTCAGAGCTTTGCCTTAGAATTCAAGTGTTTTGCTTTCATAAAAACATGTACAAGTAATGCATAGTGCAAGGTATGAGCCTGGCTAAATGAGTAACAGATTCTTCTGCCTGTAAATGGATGAGCTTCCACCAATAGCTATAAGGATTTCCTTCCACCAATAAACAGACTTCCAAGTTCTGCATTCAGGATGTCATCAGGAATGACATCATCCTCCTCAAACTCATCTCCAAGCTTCTTCCACCACGGCCAGCGAGCGTATTTCAGCATAGCATTGTGGGACTCCTTGGCCTTGGTAGCTACAGGGACTGATCGACTCATGAAAACAGCAAGATCTTTTTCTGTGGTCTCTGCTAACTGCGGAGCATCTGTAAGAACAAGGAGAGTCAGGTTTCTGTGCAGTTTTATGAGTATTTTAAACAAAACAATAAAGACCACTACTCTCTCACCTCCTACTGTCCCAGGTCACTCATTTCCCCTTGCTGACATTACAATTTTATTGCTATGTGATCAACCAGATTGGAGAAGTAATCCGAATTAGCGCTATCTCAAAAAATAAATACACAACAGGGAAAGGGAGAAGGAGGGAAAGCAGGACTACATCATTCAGTGACAGCAGCGGTATCCATCAAACCAAATTCTCATGAAGCTGTGACATAAGAGGAGCTCCTGCTCACTGATGCTGGATCAGCACTCCTGGCACAGGGTGATATCAGCGTCTGCTTCTACTGCAGCAGCGCTGCGTATTCACTGCCTGGGGGCCCCAGCACAATGTAAGCATGCTGTTGGTCTGCCTGTTCAGGCAGCACTGAGCTGCAGTGGCACACCATGTGACAGACTAAGTAATGGAATTTCAGTAACTTGCTGAATTTTGTCCTGCTTGGGTGCTCTCTGCTGGCTGCAGTTTGCTATTCTCATTTTCAATCCAAGCTATGTAAAATTTAGATAGCACAGCAGTGAATTCTGTTCCAAATAAAGCCAGGCCAGATTAAATGAAGACATGCCTCAAAATTTTCAGCTCAAAGATTTTCCTTTTCATATGAAGAAAACAATAAAACAGAACAAAACAACAACAACAACAACAAAACATTAGAAAAAGAGGTTGTGTAAGATGTCCTTAAAAACATCTATGTCTTTTACAAGGACCATTGCTTTTGTTGTGAGTACATCAGAAAGACTTCCAGCAGAAAAATAAGCAGCTCCTTGAAAAGCAGATATATTTACAGCAGTATCTGGATAGTTTCTAACTACCCTCAAAATCTCAACATAAGACGTATGGCAAAGGAAGAAAGCTGCTTCGGTTTTTAAATAAGACTGTTCCCTTTAATTTTCTTTCTAAATTAGTTTAATCCAAATGCTAATTAAAACTATGACCAGAGCAGTCACGTACTCATTAGCAGCTCCACATCAGTGTTGACCTGAGCCAGTAACGTCTCTCTCCGCTGTGCTGCTCTCTGATCCAGCCTGCTTCTCAGCAGGAACTGTGCCAGCTTTTCCTGGGCCTGCATATGTAATTCTTTACTCATTTCTTCTGACATTTGGGAAGCCTGGAGGAAAATAAAAGTTTGTTACCATGAAGATCCATTAATCCACTGGGGGCAGACTAATGTCCAAACAAGGAATACCAATGCTGTTTTTAATTGCTAACTTAATCATTTTGCTTCCTCTTGAGCTCTCTCCAAACCTATCTACCAAGTATATGTAATTCTCCAATTGCAGTTTGTTTTGACCTTTTTTATTCAATTAACAGTTTAAATCCCCAACATTTAAGCACCTTGCTCTCAAACAAGCAGGGTTAATATAGGCATACCTCACACGGATTATCTTGATCAGAATTTATGAATATACCTCACCCCTACAGTACTTTACATTGCATCATTAATGAGAATTATAAATGACTAAAACAGACCGGATGCAATTTGATGTAGTCATCCACCTTCTGCTGTAAAGCTACTCTCTGCTCATCAGTCAGCACTTTGGGATCTTTCCAGGAAGAGAGAGTTTTCTTTCTTCTTTGTTTTTCCAAGAACTTACAAGCCTTTGAAAAAAAACACATGAGAATATGAAAATCATAGACAGGGAGTTTGTCTCACTTTGCAATAAATCAGTGACAGAAAAATGTCTTAGCACTGCATTCCATACAACATAACTTCAGCTATACCAAAAAGGCAACATGAAATGGTCAGCATGAATACTAAATGCTAGAACGCTGGCGTAGTGAGGTTCCAGCCTTTGGTTTCAAAATGGTAGCTCATATTTTAGTTAGAAGATTGTATCACACTTCCTATGTCACGCAAGGTTCAACCTCTCTAGCCAACTTGTAGCTATAGATTATCACCCTCTGCATGTTTTCTGAATAACTTATAGCTATATCAACATTAAGAAAAGTGAACAAATCTTCTTGGAAGGTGTCAAAATACTGCACTCAGTCCTACCTAATTTTAGAACAAAATTTGTACACTTACTGCTCTCTGAATGATGACAGCTGCTTTATACTCCTTAAGAGACTGTTTCTGTTGATGAAAATTTTTTCTTGCTCTATACCCTCGCCAAAATCTCTGGATAGTTAATGCAGATTTCACCTCCATTTCCTGCATGTGCTTATTTATCTGACCTACCAACGTGAGAAAAATCCAGTTATAAGATCATGGGTTGAGATCTACCAACAATTTACACCTTTAATCCTTAAAAACTAAATGGTATCAAAAAGCTTGGGTACTATCAGTGAAATAGTCCTCCTCCACTAGCTGCAGGCCATTTCTCAGAGAAGGCTGGTAAGTGCCACGGAGCTTTACGTAGAGAGGGCCTCCTTCTTATCCTGTACCATTCTGCAGGCAGCATTTCTCAGTCAGTAGTTACTGAGCCCTTGAAGAACTCTTGGTCAGGTAATCAGGTCAGGAAAAGAGATGGTAAGACTACAGTGCAAACAGACATGCAAGATTAGGAAATACATTTGAGGAAAATGTTCTTAAAGAGACCCAGACAGTTTAATCTTCTGAAACACTTCAGTGTAACACGTACTGGGATGGATTATTTCCAGTAAGGCCAGCTGTCTTTCATGGAAGAGTCTCATGGCCCTCTGTCTCTGGATCTGCATTTGCAGTTTTAGGGCCTCATCTTCCTTCTGTTTCTCCAAAAGCTGAAGCTCCTGCTCTCGTTTAGCTCTACAATACACAAAGACATTAACAATTAACTTAATTGTACACTTCTTAAAAGAATCTCTGTCTATATTGAATGGCTCAGCTGCTGCCAAGCCAGCCACTGGCTGCAGGACTACACCAAGCAACAAGATATCACCTGCAAACTAATACATTACCACACTACCTGTGAGCAGGAAAGATGTGAGCCAGAAATTCAATTTGTTATCAAATAAAAATATATTTTTTTACTTAGGTTATACTTCTAAACACACTAAAGAGAGCAATGCTTCACATGGGACATTTACAACTAGAGTGAACTAAACTGTTTTGCTTCCATCATCTGTGGAAAAGGTAAAGCAACACTAGGCAACTGATACAGCATGTATCTTTTCCAGTGCATCCATCAGTATGCATGGCACCTGCTTTCCATTCTATGTACTATTTTTTCATACAGGCTGCTAAAGGAGATCAGAATGTTGGTTGTTAAGGTTCACTTTTCAAATCTTGAAGGACTTTTTCTCCAGGAAATACACACTGACACATTTTCTCCATCGATTTTGTTAACAGAACATTAAGAAAGAACCTTCTTGCAAATTCTTCACCTGTACTGGTTGTCGTAATTTGATGTTTGGACGTTGCCCCGCTGTGCTTGGCACTGGAAATGCCCCAGTAAATGTTTCACAAATCAGACAAGCAAAAACTCTGTGACTGGCTCCTAAGCTAATAATACTCAGACTAATATATTAATGCTAAACACACTCCCATATCTATACCAATAATTATTGAGACCACTTGGACATGGTCTCAGTGAGGCTGGAGGAGCTGTGAGCTAGGGCACTCCCTCTCTCCCCTCTCTTGTCCCAGTGGACCTGACAACCTCATTAGCAGTTCAACACTCAAGATTAAGAGTTCCCCCCATGATGAGGTAATGATACAACTCCCTTTCCCATTGCAGCGAGATCACTAGCCTGCTTAGGGCCTGAGTGTCTCTGCTGGACCCACAGCTGGGAGTTCTGCTCTCCTCTAGCATTTTACTGGGAACAGTGAAAGAGATGCGGGGAAAAGGGCACAAACAGAGTAAAAGCATAAAGGGTGAGGAGGAGGGGAGAAAAAAGCAGGCTAGTACCAGTGCCCAGCAATGTTGGTATCACTATATGTCACATACCTTTAGACTCACAGTACCATTGAAATAACAGCGTGCTTCTTCATCGCTAGTATAAAATTACAGGTAAATTTTCCACCAACTACAGTTTCTCCTCAGTCTCTGTAACTTTGTGGGGAAAGATAGGATGGAAGCTATTATGATCTGGATTTAAAGATCTGGCTCCAACTGATAAACACCATGATCTAAGAGACCATAATCCTCTTATGACAGTAATGCAGACTCTAAGTGTGCCCACACATGTATACATCACGATGTATACAATAACGTCAGAATGGGCTCAAGGTTTTCAGCCCACACATTTCTGTAAATGAGAGCTCTTAACTTTTGCATTTTTAATCCAAGAAGGCACATACTATACTACTAAGCTGAATGATGTCACAGGGTGAAACAAGACTTCTGATGATATTTCCCTAATAAAACTATCAACACTTTTCCCTAGAAACTTTCTTGAGCTCCACTAAGTAGAAAACAGCAAGAATGTCCTATGAACTTCTCAGATATGGATCTGTGAAGCTGACAATAGTATTAGCCAAGTTTGTAAGTGTTTACTTCTTAAGTAGCCTGTAAAACTATACATTCTTCTTCATTCTCCATTTCTCCCAATAATAAGCCACATTTGCTTGTACAAAACCGCGCTGACAGGGAAATATGTCTGCACTGAAGTACAACACAAGAAGACCCAGGCTTTCTTCAGCAGTTCATAGCATGGACTAACCTCCCTCCGATCACCTACATGTACATCTACATTCACACAATCATGTCATACATGATTAATACAAATCACTGCCATTTTAACAGTTCTACAGTTAGTTACATAAAAGTGAACTAACTTCATGGAAAGACTGCAAGCTTTAATCTCAATGAGGAGACATTTGTGAAACCACAGAGTTTCAGAAGTCTGTAACTTGTAGAGTTTAAGATCTTCCACTGCAGCTGCAGATGAGCCAGATTTAGAGTTTCAGCCTTAACAGCATGGAACCAGACTTGTTCTAAAATAAATCCATGAATATAACCAAACTCTAACTGTTAAAAATTCAAAAGGCCACTTGAAAGCTTTTCTAAAATAATGCTCACAATATTCCAAAGCTTATTTTCATTTTTGGCCTAACTCTAAGTGCAGCTTTGACCTAGACAGAAAAAAACAACCACTGGAGCTGTACAGTCACTGTACTGTACTTAGTGCACTGGGACTGACTGGGCCATGACCATATGACTAAAAATATTAATACATTTTTATTCTTCTCAATGTTAGAAAAGCACATTTAAAAGTCAACTTAACTGATTCAAGAACTGCTTGTTTAAGATGCATGTGCTAATGCTTGCAACACTGAGAACATGACAGTTAAGCAGCTGACTGATTGCCTCCAGCCTGGCCACCCTCTCCTTTCTGCTTTATCTTGCTATACCTGATCCTATCAGGACTTCAGGACACATTTACTTTATGGTGGAATTTTTATAGAGTTAACTGTGAAGCAGTTAACTGTTCTGCCACCAGTACATCATCCTCTAATGCTGTTTAGTGCAATCCAATGCTGGAGTTCCACACTTTCAGTTTTCCATATGCTATACATTTTTACACAGAGGCTCACAGAACTAAGGGCTTTTTTTCATGGAGAAGAAATTTGGCAGCTGAGAAAGGGACAGTTGGAGCTTTTGGCACCAGAGATAACAATTTGGTACTGCTGGAAAAGCACATTGTTTGGATGTTTTTGCTAAAAGAATCTGCAGTGAAATAGCTCATATTGGCATTACATTACTTCTATGTTTGAGAAAATACAGCTGACAGGAAAAAGGCATCTTTCAGATGGAGGACCTCTGGGTCAACCCAGGAAAATTCCCTGGGACAGGGCAACAAATCCTTGGGAAAGCTACACATTTCCAAGCTCGGGAAGGACAGGAAGCAAATGGGAACAGCCATGTAAGGTTTATCACAGACAAATCATGTGTGACCAGCCTGATGGCTTCTGTGATGACTGGCTCTGTGGATGAGGAGAGAGCACTGGGTGTCATTTACCTGGACTTTAGCAAGGCTATCATCAGTCTCCCATGCACTACAGGGCAGGGTTGGCACTCAAAGGAAACTCCACAGACACAGAAAATGGGTCAGCAGAAACCACATTAAATTCAAATGGGAAGTCCTACACTTGGGACTAAATAACCTCATGAATCATACAGGTTGGGCCTGGGTTACCTGGACAGCAGCTCCACTGAAAAGAATCTGGGCATCGTGGTGGCTTACAAAGTGAACATGAGCCAGCAGTGTGCCCTTGCAGTAACAACCACTACTGCATAGTGTGCTGCATTTGCAAAAGCAGAGACAACAGGTCAAAGAAAATTATTTAAACACCTTTACTCAAGCACTCTGGAGGGCACGCCTGCAATATGCCCATACTTTACTGGGTCACCCAGCAAGACAGACATCGACTGACTGGAGAGATAATGGTACAGAGCATATAGGATAAGTTCAGGGAATCTAATCTCTGTCTTTTGTTATGTGTAGAGAAGATAGAGCCACATTCTCACAGGTGCACCGAAAAGGGACAAGAGTTAGTGGAAAAGAGCTGCAACAAGGAACATTCCTGTTAACTCTAATGGAAGAATTCTAATGGAACATGAATCATGCAGCACCAAGACAGGGACTGAGTGAGATGGTGGGTCTGCATCCTTGGAGACCTCCACAGCTGCATACAGCCCCAAGCAGCCAGATATCTTGTTTTAAGGCTGGCCCTGCCTTTAGCAGGGAATTACTTGATATGACCTAAATTTTTCTTGAGATTCTGTGATGTGAGAAACACCAAACTAAACACAAACAAGTCCCATCACACTATTTTCTAGCACTTTTTACAAAGAGATGCTGGTTACCTGAAGCTTCTCTGCAAAGCTGTCACTGCTTGGGGCAGTTTTTTCAGTCTTTTTCTTGTCTGAAATCCCTTCCATGTTGCCTGAATTACACAAGCTGCTTGGTGCTGTCTCTGAAATGTATAAAAGAGTTAGCAGGATATTTGCTTTGCATATAAGAACACATTATTACTGTTTGCATCTTTGGAACGATCTCAGCATTTGGTGAAACCTTATCAGTTTTCCAATGCTCTGAAATGCACAGTGTTTATACCAGTGAGGGGCAGCTAAGGTCTTAGACAATTATTATCACAAAACTTGTCTTTAGTCCAAAGGCAGCTAACCTATCATCAGTGCTCTCTTTGGTAAACAAATGAATCTACAGCACAAGACACATATTAGCCACATAAGTGATATTAGAAATTTTAAAATTGAAAGTATCTGAAGCACTTGATATTTCAAGTGTCAATTCGGTCAAAATATCCCCACTAGAGAGAATGGAAAGACACGTCTGGAGAATTAACTGTAGGGAATATTTACATTCCCACTATGATCAGAAAATGCAACAAATAAGATTTAAAAAAATCATATTCTCAAATGGTGTTTTTTCCAGAGAGAGCAAAACACCCAAACACCCTGCTGTGTTTAAGGTGAAAGCAGGACCGTGCAAACACAGCTCTGACTTCCTTTGAACTGCTCTCTCTGAAAACCCTGCCTATATTTTGTTAAGCTCATAAAACACACATTTGCTCTTTTTATTGGAAGCACAGCCCAATGTTCTCACTGAATGCTTTCACAATACAGCTCTTAATGCTCCCAAGAATTCAGAAAGCTACATTTATAACACTGATGCAAAACAAGCAGATACAATTAGTTTTATTTTACAGTTAACAAAAATTATCTTTTTCCCTATGATTGTATAAAACTTCACACTGCACTGTGACTATGCAAAGTCAGTTTCTCAAGCCATTCTCAATTTCCATTCCTCAATTACTGGAATTCCTTGAGATCTCAACAACGAGAAAGAAAAAAAAGAAATAGAGTGAATTGGAAATGAAAAAAAAACCACACCTACTGATACAGTGAAAAAAACAGCACAGGCTTTGAAAAGCTCAGACAAAGTGAGACAGTAAATGCAACCTGTGTATATACAAATCACAATTAACTACAAATTCATATTAGAAAGTCTCATTAAAATTCAGCACCTGCACTTCCTCTTTTCCATTGGATTGTTCCAAGTATAGCAAGTCCAGAAGTTGACTGAGATCCCTGTCAAATCCTTTGCCAGTCCACTGTTTACTTAAAAGCACATTTAGTCCTACGAAAGAGAGAAGAACCGTGCAAAACTGCAAAGGCAATTTCTTCTTTCTACGATTTCAAACTTTCAAATAGAAAAATCCAAGCTGACTCTACGTGCAAAGAAGACTAGACTGCAGCTGAACGAGGTCAGTCATCTTTGAGTTTACATATTATCTCTGAATATCTGGTGCTGGAATCATTATTATTGCACCTATGTAATGGGCAGTTGAATTAGCAATGTATTTCCAGTGTCTTATCAGTACAGCATTGTAAGCTACTCGTTACTGAACCAAGATGGCTCTGGTTAACCTCCACCTTTGCATTTTTATGGCGGATGCAAGGAGGCCAAGTGACTGATTGCACACAATCACAAACCTTTGTAGCGAGCTGCCAGTAACTTCAGGAGCTGCTTGCAAAATTTTGCCATCAGCAACAGCAATTTTGTAGCAGAGTTTCCTATGACAGGGTTGGTAGAAGATGAAAGCTTATAAACAAGTTCATCCAATAAGGAATGCAGGATCTCTTCATCAACCCGAAGCAGGACAGAACTTAATATATAAAAATAAGGGGAGGGGAGGACAAATGAAAAGTTAGTTACAAACTATCAGGTTTTTAATAGTGAATTCTTATTATAGATGTCCTCAGGTATTCAGCAAGCCAACAGCTAACATACTCAACTAACTGGACCAGCAATCTGATCCAGGCTGTAAGGAAATGGAACTGAAGAGTCATTTTTGTTTTATGCTGCTTCTTTTTCTGTGATGAGTCGATACTCCCACGTTTATTCCAGTTAAACTGAGAACACTAGTATTGCTAACTCATTCCTCACTGCCGTTGTCTCAGTGGCAGAGGCAGTACTGCTATTTCAACCCATTCCCATTCCCTCATTTTAACAGGGTAAACAAAATATCGGATATTTCTATTTCTACAGCAAAGACTAGGAAAAAAAAACACACCACAGCTCTCATATATGAAAAGTTCTATTTTACAAAGCAGTAATGAACTGAATTTGAAATTTGAGATTCAGGAAAATCAGTGACATAAGAATAACTAACCTATTGACCCCCAAGATACTGTGTAAAACAGACATCATTGTAACTGCTGTTTCAACACTGTCTGATATTAGCAACTTCAGGAAGTGATCATTTTGCAGCACTGCAAGAAAAACAAACAGACAAGAAATCACACAGTCAGAACCACAGGCTTTAAAATACTATAAAACAAATTAACTGAATCACGAAAGCCACAGCAAGTAAAAACAGACACTTTCTGGAACAAACATCATCTTTTATCATTTTTACACTGAAGCTTCCTGGAATAAGCAAACTATTTCAACACAAAAGGGAAAAAAAACATGCTGGGCTGTTTTTCTGCCGCTGGATATCCTTTAGGCACTGGCACTGAGATATAACAAAAGCTTTAAAACTTCTTATGTTACACTAGCACCAGTTTCTCATTACACTAGTGGAATTTCATCACCGGGGCAACAATATCCAGAGAAAATAAGCACTACAACCTTAACAGTTTGTTAAACCAGCTTCATTTAATGCAAGACCACTGATGTCACTGAAGCACCATCTTTTCTTTTTATTCCAGTTCCAGCCTACTTACGTAGAATTTTTTCTGTCCATTTATGTTTTTAGCTATGTATTTTGTTATCTTCAATTTACTGCTTTCTGTGAGAGACAAAACCAAATTCTGCTTTTCATTATGAACTAAATATCCATGTGCTCGACACTGGCTTAATTGAAATTTTATTTTGGTCAAAAGTCTAGTAAAGTTTGTTAGATACTTGGCAACAAATAGCATGAGAGATAGCATGGATAGCATGGTAACAAATCAAATAACCCATTTTCAATTCATCCCCCATTTTAGGTCTGGGAATGTACTTCAGTCAAACTTCTGCATATATTAATCAAAGACAAGTAAGAAGTTCTGAAGTACCTTTTCACTAAAAAATATCTGCTCTTCTAAAGGTACAAGATTACAAAGGGAAATTTCAGGAAAACACTTTTACTGTTGGTTTCTAAAAGATTAGAAATACAATTCCAGTATTCTCCTTTAGTGGATCTTTTACATCCTCAATACTGCTGTTCCTGTTGGAAGGAATACTTTAATAGACTGCCTTAAGATCTACCACAAATTAGAAAACTAGGAGGGGATTGGCTTATGACTGTCTCTTGCTAGCTCTATTTCATCTGAACAAATACCCAAGTATTTTATGAATGAATTTTCCCTTACCACACTCTGTTAGTTGAATATGTCCACCAAACAGCCAGCAGATGGCATCAGTTACTGTTTGGAAATAGCGTAAAAAATCTTGTTTTTCTTCATCCTAAACAAAAGAGAAGTAAAAAAAAACCAAACGTGTGTGTGTATCTTCCTACTACATCACGATATGGCCGGAAGTCTTGTATACTTCAGCTATTTGGAAACCAGCTCTACCAGCTGCACAAATTAAGTTGGTCAAACCACAGGAACCAGGCACACCAAAAAAAAAGGCCAGAGATCAATCAACACAGTCTAAACATACTAGAATAAAGCATCCAATCCTGAAACCTTTGTAATGGGGAGAGAAAAGGCTTGTTGAATTCTTAGAAGTATACGTTAGTATGGGAGGGCTAAGAAGATAACTGACAGGTTAATACAAATGAATCACAGATTTGATTCACAAAGTAGTAAATACATTATTTAAGATTACAGCACAGAAACAATGAGCACAAAGCAGCCAAAGATATAGGTAACAATCCACAAGGTTGCTGTGAACTGTCACGGTGCGGCTGCAGAAGCACTCCTAGTTGGAGGTTTGGCACCAAATACCAAACCACTGTTAGAGCTGAAGTTCAATCAGTTTACCCAAACAGAATATAGACAAGCTTGCTTGTGATAACACTGCACTGGACACAACAGCCAGGAAGTATCTAAGTTTTAATGGGAGCACAGACACAGTTTGGAGTTTGTATTCCAGGGACGATCCACAGCCACTGGCAATCAAAATTCTCAGTGAGTGGATAGCAAAGTGACAAATGTTATTATAAAGCACTTAGCCTCATATCTCCCACACCACTGAGCCTCCACCAGTGGAATTCCGGGAAGTCACTTCCTAGATCTGTGCAGTGAGTCCCAGCCATTAGTCATGGTTTAATTATTTGGTACTGACTGAACAAGAGATACAAAACAGCAGGAAGAAGGTAAGGCATAATACTATCTTTGGTGTGTTTGGCAAGGCATCAATTTCTGAAAGCTATTTTAGTACTTCCCTTTACTTTGAAGTCTTCTACACAAGGCGAGTGAGGGCACAACAATACCAGCAAAGAGGGACTTTTGAAGTTCCAGTGAGCAAGCATCAAATTTGGGTGCCCGGTCACCTCCGAGACCACAAGATTTGAAAGCCAACATACTAACTATAATACAGACTGCACTGGAATTCAGAAGTAATCTTTGCCCACTTGCATGACTCAAGTAGCATGCAGGCTGAGACATAATAAGAAAGAATAGGGGAAATTAAATATTGCAGATAAGACTGGAGTCTCCTGGGATGTCATTCAGGAAGCTTCCTGAGCACTAAATGCACTTCTAAAGTATTGAACAAACAAAAAATACATCACTCTACTGATACTTTCTGAGAAGTGATTATGTATGTAATGACCAGAACAAGACACTGTAGGAAAACTTTGCCTAAGTCCAAGGAGTTAGTGAGACAAGAAATGGGATACAAAGGAGAAACAGGAATAATAAATCAAACTATCAGAATCCACTGGGTTGGTTATTTACATTATCATTATTAAACTTTTTTGCTGGTTCTGGCACTCAGAATGCTTCAAAAGCATAACTGGACAGAACCCTTCCTCTCCGCAAAAGGAGAGCAATATAAGAAAGTGTTCTCATCTGCTAAAACACAAAGCCTGCCTCTAGGGTTCCCTACATGCTGGTTCAGAAGCAGCAGGCATTTGGGAAATTTTTTTGCCATTTTCACTTTAGAAGTTCTATGTCAAAACAAAGTTTGACCTATCTGACCTAAAGTCTTAAGTCTTCCTAAACCACACTTACTTTTATTGTAAAGCTGAATGAAGCACTGAGAATAAAGCAGTTACAAAGACTGAACGAATCACAGGCCAAGTAAAAAAGACACTGCTATGGCTGGGATGCTGTTTTTTAAGGCTTTTTTTTTTTCCATCTTACTGCTCTAAGTCTTTTGTCTTATACATAATTACATCCTCTGTTAACTCCTCTAAAATTTCTGAAAAGTAGCAACCAAATTCTAAATCTATGGTAACAAATATATTTAGGCCCATGTAATGGACTGGATGCTCCACGGTAACAGATTTTAGTTTCAAAGCTATGCAAAGAAAAACTATTTTAATTTCTGGAAAATAATTTTTCATACTACAGCACATCTAAAATAATCCTACTCATGCAATACACAGGTTCAGAAAGGTTACAGAGATTCTCTGCTCTTCTGATCATGAAATTTAAATACCTTGACTGCTCGGATAAATCGCGCTTGCAGGCGTCTCCCCAAGAACAGCAGGTTGTCTACAGCTGAAGGAAGAAATTTCTTGTAAAATTCCTCAGGATCTTCTTTCACCTCCAGTCCTACACAACAATGACTGAAACGGGAGGGGGAGGGGGAAGAGATCAACCTGAATTGTCAAAGGCCTGTTTGAACAGTTTTGAATGAATGTCATGTCATCAGAGAAGAAATGCTTCACTGGAATGGGACAATCCAACATTGAACAGCAGTTAACTGCTGTGACTAGCTCCACTATAGCTGCTTCAGAAGGAACAGTAATCACTGGCAGGCTGGAGACACCAAGTATAATACCACTTCTCACAGCACGGCTCAGTTTAAAACACATCCAAGGCACTTTTGCCTTTATTTTCAAGGGTTCTGTTCAGACTTGTTCCATATGTTTGGGACAGGCTCTGACAGTCATAAGGAAAAGAAGCAAAGACAAACAGAGACTTGATAAGGGAAAAGAAAGCATGACGAAGGTGGTGCAGATGATATGACAAAAAAATACACCAAACAGCTATTACTTCACCACAGAAAATTCTGTGAATCTGCCTACAGCTTTCCTCTAATCGAGGAACACATGCGGGATCAGTTCCTCAGATCTGTTTTCTGACTTCACTCACCACAAACACGTCGGTCATTTCTGAAAGGTTATGTACAAGGAACTGTAATTTTTAGAACTGGGAATTTTTCAAGTCTGTATCCCACATCAGTGCAACAAAAACGCCTTTCCAACGTCTTATGAATTTTGCTTCCTGACATCTTATCTAATCTTTGTTAGCTTTCTGCGAACACACACGAACAGCTTTGCTTACCTAAGCCCTGTGAAAGCACATTCTAAGCATGAAGCTCAGATTCATCGAGTTACAAAAGGACATTTTTACAGCTAAAATAAATCTCAGTTTTCTCCACAAACCAAAACAGCTTAGAAGAGTTGGTTTAAACATCACGCAGCTCTGGTGATAAATCTTGCATCTCTTACAGAAATTCCCTGCATTAAAAATTCATTTTGCAGATATGACATAAATAAGGGATGGTTGCCTAATTGCTTCATGCCTTAGAATTTCGCTCCCTAGTTAAATCAAAATCAAGTACAACTAGGGGAATATTTATAACTCATTATTTTTCCTGGCATCAAAAATTGAGATTGGATCATTGGGATTTAAGTTTTAAGTTGGCTTATTTACTAGCTAGGAATTAAACTTCATTATCGCATTCTCACAGCATCAGTACATCAAGCTATCTAGTCTGTAAGAATAATGCCTTCTGCTACATTTAAAATGTAAATAGATATTTAAATGGAGCCAAATCGAGCTGAGAGTCAATCAAGCTGAAATTTTTGTAAAAGACATCTAAATAGACTTTTTTTTAATAACTCCAATAAAAACTATTTAATTACTTGGTAAAAACTGTGACACAGACAAGTACTGGTCACAAAAAAAGGTAAACCCAATGCAAAAACTGTTCCCACCGAACAGTTTACCCAGTTCAATGAAACACAATAAGAATGAATTAAACAGGGCCAATTAGGCTATGCCTGATCCCTCTGCTCTTGACTGCTCCCTGCACTTTAACCCTGGCCTTTCCTGAACAACAAGCCTTGTTCTGGATGGAAGCCAACGTATTACAGCTTCAAAAGAAAGAGAGCAAGATGAAAAGCCACAAAGAAAACAAGATGAAAACTTTTTAGCACTTTTTTTTTTTTTACCTTATTATCTCTGCAAGCTGGGCAGCAGTAGCCCAGCCTCCCTGCAGCCGAGAGCAATCTTGTCTAAGGACCAGCATGCAGTAGTGAATCAGATCATAAAAGTATATGTCTTGCTTAATTTTCTTGGACTCCTGATGCCCCAAGGAAGCACTGCTTAAAATTTCTGTGGGAAGAAAGCAGGAGGGAAGGGAAGCATAGGAAGAAGGGAAGCAAAGGGAAGCATAAGGTTCTGCTGTTCAATTTGGATAGTACTTTTTCTAGGCATTTGCTCATTCTCCAAAGAGGAATACATACACGCAGAGCTCAAGGTAATTCTAAAAATCCTAGGAGCAACCAAATATTTTCTCAGCACTTTCCACACTCACAGCTACAATCTGCTTGCTGGATGACGCTTGGGAGGATAGCTGAATGTAGCTTTCTATTTTCTCACCGTACACTCAGATGTAAAACAAATGCTATGCGGGACGTAGCTTACTTGTAGGAATGTCCTAGGCCAGAGAAAGCCACAGGCACTGCCAGACGTACGGCTCCCTTATAATTACATCCCGATTTAGAACAGGGCCTGGCTTGTTCGTGCCATTCCCACGAGGAGTGGCTGCGGCAAGACCAGGAGGGGAGCCTCACCGAGCTGTGCCCGAGCTCCGGGCGTACAGACCTACTGGCAGCCACAGCCTGGCTCGATGAGGGAGAAACGAGGGTGGGAGCAACGCGGCCCCGATCAGCGCGGGCCCACACAGCGTGCCGGCGGGGAGCTGCCTCTTCCCACTTCCTCCCTTCACCTCCACAGGCTGAATGCTGTCAGAACAGCCGCGTTATCGCCTCCTCAGCCCTGCCAGCCCCGCCACCGCCGTTCCAACCGACCTTCTGAACCTAAGGAGGCGGCCCACGCCTCGCCGCTCGTCTCCTTTAACTGTGCGAGCGGAACAAATTACCCTTTAACTTCAGCAGCAGCCCCGGCACGTCCCGCTCGCTGCCCTCAGCGACCCGCGCGGCCAGGGCCAGCACTCGGGGGTCCGCGGCCATAGGGGAGCGCGAGGAGACCCGCGGCACCACACGGGGTTCCTGGGGCCCGACTCCCTCGCCGTCAGCTGGAAGCCCGCGCTCCGCCCCGAGGACGGAAACAAACGCGAAGGAAGCCCTCGCACCGCCTCCCGAGGCCTACGGCTTCGGCCAGAGATCTCGGCAGCTCCAGCATCCCTCAGCCCCGGGGACGGACGGGGCGAGACCCGCGCGGAGGGACGCCCCCGCGGGGGGCGAAGGCTGACTGAGTCGCTGACTGAGCCCGAGTCCCCCGACCCGCCACTCCTCCCGGCCGTGCGCTCGCGCCCGCTCTCCACCAACCAGAGCGCCGCCCTGAAGGAGGAGGGGGGCATTTGCATACCCACGCGCCAACGGCGCCTCCAACCTCCCTCCCCCCCAACAGCGCGGCCTCCCGGCGGCGCGTCTCAGCGTCCAATCCGCGCTTACGCTGCTCCGTGACGCACGGCGAAGGGGGCGGGGCTACGAGGGCGGTGTCGAGAGGCACGTCGATGCGGGGGCGTGGCCTGGGGGGTGTGGGCGTGGCCAGAGGCTGAGGGGCCGAGCGGGCGTGTCCGGCACTGCACCGCCCCCGCGGCGTGAGGGATGTGCGGTGGCGGCGGTAGCGGCGGGGGCCGCCCGGGCGGGTCATGGTGTGAGGTGTGCGGCGCGCGCCGCCATGAACGGGATGGCCCCGCCGCTCGTCGAGCCCAAGGAGCGGGTGCTGCAGCTGGGCGAGACCTTCGAGAAGCAGCCGCGCTGCGCCTTCCATACCGTGCGCTGTGAGCTGAGGGGCGTGCGAGGGGGCGGCAGGTGCCGGGCTCCAGGTGCCGGGCTCCAGGCTCCGGCTTGGCGCGGGACCGGACCCAGAGGAGCTCCCGCGGCCCGCGGCGCCTCGGTCCCTGGCTTGGGGGGGGGGGGGAAGGGCCCGGCCCGGGCGGCTCTGCCTGCAGCCGGGCGGTCCCCGCGCGCAGGGCTCGAGCTCTGCCCTCTCGCGCTTCGTTTTCAGGTGCCGAGCGCAATTCGGCATCAAAGGTTACGGGGAGGCGTTCGTCGCGGCCGCTGCCCGGAGAGCCGTGCCCTCGCGGTAGCTCGGAGGCGGCCGCCCTGGGGCTGATACGAGGCCGGGCCGGCGGCTCCGAGCGCTGCCCCGTTCGCTCACGCGCTCCCCTCGGGGCCGCACGCCGGGAGGGGAGCACGGCGCGTGGGCAACTGTGCTGAAATGAGCCCTCGTTCTGAAACTGTGCCGGGTGCTTCCCACCATTCCCGCTTTTCGCTGACTGCAGTAATGTGATTATTTGTTCTGAAATCTGTTTTGAAATCTCTTTTCCTTTCCAACGAATGAGCCATAGGAACTGGCGCGCTCATCGCCGCTGCGCGCGGAGATCGCTCTGACACCTGAGGAGCTGGTTAGCAAATGACTGAAAGGGAGCGCAGCTGCCGGCTGCCACTGAAGTTCAGAAGTCAGCTTATGGGAGCTGAAGTCTCTCGGTTTGAACTGCCCGCTGGCTGTAGCTTAAAGCAAATATCCCTCCTCGCTCCTGTTTAGAAGCTCTGGAACTGCTATGCTCGATTCTGCCAGCTCAGGGGATTCTGCAGCCCTGGGCTGTGAGCACGGAGCGCTTCTCAGGGTCCCGTAGCAAGGCTGTTCCCCAGCAGCACGCTGTGTGGGGCCTAAGACTCAAACCCACACGCACTGCGGCACAAAGAATTTCCCCCTAACATCTCACAGCCCCCCAGACGTGCTCCAACAGGTCTGTGCCCTTCTTTGCTGGGGGCCTCAGAGCTGAATGCCGGCTTCAGGTGGGGCCTCGCAAGAGCTGAGCAGAGAGGGACAATCACTTCCCAGGGCCTTTCAAAAGCTATTTATTGCCTTTCTGGAAGTATTTAATTGAAGTTATTTTCCTTTGAAGTCTAACGCATCCAGTCTCCTATCCTTTAGCACCTAACAGTGCTTCCTAAATTTTATCTGAAAGGTGTTAACATTTAAGCTGAATATGGAGAAAAGAGGCTTAACTTTGAATTCTGCTAATTTACTGATCTGATCAGGGAACAGCAGGTGATACGCCAGCAAAAAAGGTCATGGCATAATAGTCTCCAGTGGAAATGATATTCAGAGCATGTCTAGGATTAGAAGGCTCCTGAAAAGCCCGGAAATAATCCAGTTTCATCTTATTTTTAGATGACTTTAAGCCTGCGTCTATTGATACTGCTTGTGAAGGAGACCTTGAAGTTGGCAAAGGTGAACAGGTGACGATAACACTGCCGAATATTGAGGTGAGGGGGATGGCTGAAGAGTGGCAGGCACATGGGATGGTATATTTTGCTGTTGTAGAATCACAGAACGTTTTGGATTGGAAGGGACTTAGTCTCTCCATTTCCACCCACCTGCTGTGGATAGAGTCACCAACCATTAGATTAGGCTGCCTGGTGCCCCAACCAGCCTGGCCTTGGTCACCCCATAATTATCTCTTATGGTTTATTATCATAAAAATATGTTGAATATAGGAGTATACAAAGTTTTAATGCTGCTTCAGAGCTGCTTGTGGAATTTTTAGAGTTCAAAACCAGTTGTTCTAATGTGTAAAACTGCAGATGATCTAAAGGTTAAACAGCTGTGCTGTAGCTTTAAGTGTATTCACTGAATTGGAAATAAGTTGTAGGATGACCCTGAAGTGTTGCATACGCTGAAAAGCTTTATGTGGATGTTGGCAGTGTGAGTTTCCCCTTGGTATTTACTGCAGTAGCACAGTTCTAAAGCAGGAAAGACTGGAAAGGGAAAATTTACTACCTGCCATGCTTTACTGCTCTGCTTATTGGTTACTGAAACCCCTTTTGGTAAAAGGAGTCCTACAGTAAATATGCTGTGATCTGGAAATAAGTTTGAAACTGATTAAATGCTAAAGATGAAATTCCCTTCAGTCAGTTACCAGCTGCTTTTGGTCATGGTTGAGTCTGATTTGAAATAACCAATAGCATTCCTCAAAGCTAGAAATGATTGCTTATAGTGAATTTGTCATGTTTGTGATGGATTGTTTGCTGTTCTTAAGAAGAAAAAGTACTACATAGTAACATTTGCTGGACTCTTCTGGTTTACCAGGGCTCCACTCCACCGGTGACAGTGTTCAAGGGCTCCAAGAAGCCTTACCTAAAGGAATGTATCTTAATTATCAATCATGACACTGGAGAATGTCGCCTAGAGAAACTTAGTAGCAACATCACTGTGAAGAAAATCAGGTGGGTAATTTACAAGATGAACAGCTGTCCTCGTTCAGAAAATCTATTTGTTAGAGTTGAAATTGAGATATGCTTCAGCCCATTACTATTTTTATCATAACTTTGTATTTAGAAAGTCTCTGGTCTTGTTCAGTAGAGTGAAAAGCCCATGATCTCAATACACCAACTTTGCTTTGTGGGTTCTGAGTCTTGACCAGCAGAAATCATAGAGAAGTTGTTTTTCCTCTGCTTTATTTTAACTAAGAAGTGGCGCATTGTTAAGAGGTGGCAACTACTATCTAAAGAATATAGGGGAGGGCAAATCTCTTTGGAAAGTACTTTGCATAATGTCTTCTGACTTCTAAATGAGAAAATAGACAAAATATCTGTTCTGGTTTCAGTTGTAGCTGTGACTTGTTTTTCCCATACCAAGTTTGTGTTCTTTTGTACTGCTGAACCTTCAGAACTTTCAGCAGTTATTAGTGAGTGATCTTCGGTAGCCAGTTATTATAACAAGTCAACTAACAAAGAATACAAAACTTACTGGCAGTGTATTTAATATATATATGTATTACATCCATATCTAATAATATGCTAATAAGATTAATTCATGTACTTGTAAGTGTAATTATGTTACTTAGGAAGATATGGCAAATAATTCCATAAGTTGAGCTGTAGCATCCCCTGAATTCCTGTCTTCTATCTGGTGTCTTCTATCTGGTATCCTGTCTTCTAAACAGTGACAGTTTTATTCTTTTTAAACAGAGCTGAAGGAAGCAGTAAGGTTCAGTCTCGTATAGAACAGCAACAGCAGCAAATCCGAAACTCAACTAAGACTCCAAACAACGTTAAAAATTCCCCACCAAAAGACAAGATGTTTCCATCCTCCCCTATGGATGACATTGAACGAGGTAAGCTCCACTGCTTAGAAACTTTGCTCTTAACTAAGATTTTTTTAAAAGCAGAGTGTGTTTTAGTTTGACATTGACTCCAGAAGTCTGATCTTGCAAGCACTTTAACCCCATGCTTTGGTTCAAGTGGTAGCAAAGCAGTGTTTGAAACTGAACCTTAAAATCAGGTGAATCATTAGGCTTAATCTCACAAGTTATACTGCTTTTACTGATTTATTTTTTTTTTCTCATGCTGCTTCTTTAATCAAGCAGAAAGTAGACTGTATTGTGGTACTGCAACCAGTGTAGTCATTTCCCATGTTGACACAACTGCTTCTTCAGGACTGTTTCTCTGTGTTCTGCAGACGTGTAGTTTGCAGTGCATTACAACTCAATTTTTGAATTCCCAGATGAGACTCGTGAAAGGTGACATTCAAGCGGGGGGGAAAAAAATACAGCAAGTGCCTGCACAACTCATCTCTTGAACAGTGCTGTGTGCTGTGTTCTTGAGGCACTGGTTTGGTGAGACATGTATTTTGTGTAGAGGCAGGCCTTACTACCTTTTGGAGGGCAGAGAAAATGGCAGGTGGTAATTACTTGCTACAGAAATACTGACAGGTGACAATTTCAATCAGAGTTGATGTCTATCTCCAAAGATGTTCTAAATTCCTTCAAATAGGATTTTCAGATGTCACTATGAAGATTTTTTTATTTAATTGTTTTGGGTTTAAACTCTGACCAGAACTTTTCACACTATGGAACAGTATTAGAATAGAGCTGGAGTTGCAAAGACTAAGGAAAGCCTGAGTGCAGCAAATGAAATAATGCTTTTTCTTGGTGCTCTGTTGTTTTTGGGGAGTGGGAGTGTTGAACATATTGCAAGATACCAAAGTGGCTGCCAAAATACATCAGACTCTTTTGTACTGCCAGTCCAATTTTGAGTGCTACTTAAGAAAATGCAGAATAATTGAGGAACAGGGCTGGAAGGGACCTCTTAAGGTTATCCAGCCCATCCTTCTGTTCTAAAGTCAGATTTCTGATGATTTTTTTTTACCACTTTTTTTTTTTTTTTTTTTTACTAAGTTCTCTGGTGGTGGATTTTGAGTTCTCCTTGGCAGTTTATTCCAGGGCTTTGTTTTCCTTATGGTTTACATTCACCATGTAAATACAGGCCAGACTACTCTACTTTTTTAAGTAGCCCTTAACGTACTCAGAAAACTGCTGTGCCTTGCTCATTCTTTCTTCAAAATGATGCCATCTGGTTCATTCTTTTGTGGAAGATTTCTAGATCTCTAATTCATTGTCACTCTCCTCTAGCTATCTTCCAACTAGTTTAAAAATTTCCTGAAGTGTGGTGCCAAAAACCAGTTAGTGTTTCAGCTGAGGTTTTAGCCCTGCTGCTCTGAGCAAGAAGGCTGGCTTACTGGCACTTTCTTCGTATGAGAAGACCAGATAGGATCTCATCTCAGCGTGATGCTTGTCAATTCTGCTGCAGCATGATACAGTAGAACTGTGTTTAGTGATCCACTGTAACAAGCTCTTCCAAAGTGTTGCCTGCTTAATCATTCCTCATCCTGTGGTTGTGTAACTGACTATTCCTGTTTAAGTACACCACTTTGAACTTGTTACTATCTTCATTTTCTGGGGCGGGAGGAAGGTCTCTCTTTATTCCTCCAATGTAGGTGTAGCCCTTCTCCCTCTGTCTAAAAAGACTTTTAAATTCAATTGTTTCAGAATTCAAGGCACAGTTCTCATTCACCAGTGTTTGGTGCTGTTAACTTAATTTTTTTAAATTGGTAGTCATAGGTTAAGCAGGGAGGAAGAGGCATTAAGTGCATAGAACTTGAGTGCTGTATCTTGGTTAGCTTACAACCTCAGATGGGTGGTAGATCAGTCCTTGGCCTTCCTTCTCTAGAATTATTTTGAAGTATCATCTTGGATCTTTCTTCTAGCTGCTTTTTAAATTTTGCCGTAGACTTTCTGGCTTATTTCTATGCTGATGTTGTGCTTGCCCTTAGCTGCAGGATGCTTCCAATTTTTTAACCTCCTTTTTTTTTTCCTTATGTTTGAGTCAGATAGCCAACGTGGTCTTTTAGTGTACTTTCTAATCTTCCTTGGCATTGAGTTAGTTTGCCCTTGCAGTCATAGCCATGCTATTTCAGGAACTGCCAGTTTTCCTGAGTGCCTTTTTTCCTTTAGGCTGGCCTTTGATAAGTTTGACTGGCCAAAACACCTTTTCCTTTGGACTGACCTTTGATAATGAAGGATTGGAAGCATTCATGGAAGTTTGTGTTTAAGCTTGTTCTTCTGTTCTCCCTTCTTGATTTGATTAAGTCTCAAACAATCGTTCTTTTTGATCACTTTCATCTTCAATATGTTCTTCCATACTAGAGAATGTGAAGTAAGATGAGCTACCTTCCTTAAGTACATTTCATGTCTGCCGTATCAAAGCTGCTCCTGAAGTACTCCAAGTACTTGTAAGACCACCATAGCAAATGGCTGGATAGTTACAACCTTGTGTGATGGTGAACTTTTGCCCTCTGGGTTACTCCTCAAGCTGATGCATAAGATCTCCATCCAGTGTGGTTCAGCGGTCTGTTTCAGACTTCTCACTTCAGCAGCACCTCTTTTTTGCCTAATTATTATGTGTACTTTGCAAAGTTTAGTTTCCTCAGTGGTGAACTTTAGCTGTTATTTATCAAAAATGCAAACTTTGTAACACAATCTTTCCAGTCATACCATTCTAAATACTATATTCAGGTGAGTTATTTAGCCAAAAATACAAGATTTATTTGTTAACTTCAAGTCTTTCTTGTCTCCTTGTTGCTCTAGCTTTTTTCTTTTTTCTCCAAGTCTATAAGGAGAACAAGGCAAACAAGGATTTGATGAAATGATCCTAATGTGAAACTGTAGATGGTTCCTTCGGATATTTTGTGTGTTTAACTTAATTTTGATCAAAATGTCACATTGTCTGTGTGCATGTTGGTTGCATTGCTGAACTGCTGGAAGGTATTTTGAGTGCAGTTACTGACATTTTGCTAACTTATGTGATTTTTTAACTGCAGCTTTTAATCAGGGAAAGACATCTTCAGAGAGCTAGGGAAAATATAAGACTAGCTAGTCACAGAAATTAAAGGTTATGTGGGATGCATTACCCTGTGGAATATGGGGTTCACATTTGGGTTCACCAGTTACCCTTGTTCTAAAGCTTGACTTGAAAGGGAAATACTGCCCAAGCTCTGGGAGAGGAAAGCCACATGACAAACCAGGTGTTTGCTTATACCCTTTTCTTTGTTCTGAGATTTTCTGATTTTTTTTTTTTCTCTCAGTAACATGTTGATTTGTGTACCTGATTTTTTTTTTTTAATCATGATTTTCTTTGTCCTTCTTATACATCAACTATGGTAATGCTAATTGAGAAACATATTTTTTGCAGAACTAAAAGCAGAAGCCAGCATCATGGACCAGCTGAGTAGTTCTGACAGTTCATCTGACTCCAAAAGTTCTTCCTCCTCCTCATCAAGCAGTGAAAATAGTTCCAGTGAGTCTGAAGATGAGGAAGCAAGGCCCTCTCTTCCAATGTCAATGCCATATCTGCAGCCACAGCCTGCCGTGTCTGCCATACCACATCAGGCTCTTCCTGACAAAGATGCCAGTCATAACAGATCCCAGGAGAACAGTGGTCATATGATGAATACACTACGTAAGTACAAAGACTGTTCTTTTCTTAGTATGCAATTCCAGACATCAAGATTCTGAAAGGAAACCATATTGTTTTTAAGTATGTCTCTGTTTTAATTAAAACTGTGGGAAGCAATGCTAAGGTTTGATTGTTCAGCCAAGGTCTGAATTAGATGCTAGACTAGAAGGCTTTCGGTCCCAAGAGGTACTAAATTAAAGCTGGTGCAGTTCTAAGCTGTTCTGGCTTCCTCCCAGTTCTATACGTTGAGACTGCAGAACAGCAATTTTGTAATGAAAGTAGTTGAACTTAAAGGGTACTTCCAAAACATGTAATTTCTTGGTTAGAACTATGGGAAAGATACCACACTGACAATACTTGGAATTACAGAAAAGATGGCATATTCTTAGCTACTTCAGTTACTGTTATTCATGGCACTGGCCCAGCTGGACAGCGTGGCAAAACTCTCCTCTGCATATAAGAAGGGCAGTTGTTTATTTTCAGGTGATACTGTCTTATTCCACCAATCCAACCAACTGAAAACGTTATTTGAAGAGTAGCTGCTGCTGTGTTCTTCAGCAAGTGGTTGAAGAATTGCTGCACCACTTGGAATGTGTTGATGAGTGTCATCCAAGAAGGACATTTTGGTCAGAGGAGGGGGGAAAAACAGTAGGTAGAGTCTCAAGTCTGCTACCTAAATAAGCAGGAGCATTCAGACATTGGAGTTGTAAATGTTCAGCTGTTTGAAAACAAGTATGTTTTTTTAATTAGGTGTTTAACTGCAGGCTCACAATATAAGAGATTTCTGTGAAACCCTACTGTACTGCCCAAGATCTTTAAGGCATATCATTTATGTGTAAACTGGTTCTATTGAAATTTCAGACTCTGGCAGGCCTACTTTTGTTTCAACACCTAATAGATAACGTGAACAGGTTTGGTGATTGTTTTTTTGTTTTGTTTTTTTTCATAGCAAGTATTTAAATATTTAAGTATCTGTGGTTACTTTGTTATCAGAGATGAGATCAGATGGAAAAGTCTTGTGACTTCATGTGCCAAGAAGTAAATGCTGTCTGCATTTTACTGTCAATGTAGAAAACAACATCTTTGTAATTTGTGTGACTTCAAAAGGTGCCATTTATTTCAACCATCATTCACAAATGAGATTTACCATTCTTCGTGCTTTATTTAAAGCTCCTATGAAAATGTGATGAAGCTCTTCCTCCTTGACAGAATCCCAGCTGGCCAAACTTCCACTGAGAAACACTCTTAAGAGTACAGGTGGCTAACTCTACTAGTTCCAACAATCATAGTGAGAAAATGCTGCTTGAAACATGACAACATCAAAGCCATTGCAGAGGAAGTTGATGACTTAATGCCTGAGAACTATGTAGACAGGTGAAACCTTCTGTTTTGTAGCATCAAGCCTCAGGCTTAACTAGCTTGCGTAGCTATTTAGCTTAGCTCTAAATTGGAGAGACCTGAATTTGACAGAAGGCTTTCTTGGTAGATAAGAAATTAGCTGGATGATCACAGCCAGAGCTGTGGCTAGCAGCTCTTTGTTCAAGTGGAGACCAGTGACAAGTAATGTTCCTCAGGTATTGATATTAGGACTGATGCTGTTTAACATTTATCAGTGTCATGGACAGTGGGATCAAGTGCATTCTTGGCAAGTTTGCTGATGATGCCAAGCTAAGTGGTGCAGTCAACACCCTGAAGAGAAGGGATGCCATCCAGAATGACCTTGACAGGCTTTTGTGGTGGGCTTGTGAAAACCTCATGAAGTTCTGGATGTTGATCAATGTAATCTCCAGCACAAACACAGGCTGGGTGGAGAATGCACTGAAAGCAGTCCTGAGGAGAAGTACTTGTGGATGTTAGAATCATAGAATATCCTAAGTTAGAAGGTACTTATAAGGATTATTTACTCTAACTCCTGGCTCTAGGCAAGGCCTCAAAAAATCAGACTGCCAGAGAGTGTTATCCAGACACTTCTTGAACTCTGTCAAGTTCAGTGCCAAGACAGCTTCCCTGGGCAGGATGTTCCAGTGTCTGAACACCTCATGGTGAAGAACCTTTCCTGATATCTAACCTGAATATCCTGTTGCCACTTCATGCTGCTACTTTAGGGCCTATCCTTGGTCGCCACGAAGAGGAGATCAGTGTCTGTCCTTCCTCTTCCACTCTTAAGAAAGCTGTAGGCTGTGATGAGGTCTCCCCTCAGTTTCCTCTTTTGTAGGCTGAACAGGTTGCCCAGAGAAGCTGTGGATGTCCTGTCCCTGAAGATATTCAAGGCCAGCTTGGATGGGGACTTGGGCAGTATGATCTGGTGGGTGGCAGTCATGCCCTGTGCAGAGGGATTGGAACTGCCTGATCTTTAAACTCCTTTCCAACCTGATTCTGTGAGGATCCCAGTTCTATTTAATTCTTAATTCCATAGCTCACTTGAGTACCGTTAATGTTTGAAATACACTGCAACTAGACAAAGATTAAGAAAGTCATTTTGAAGGAGAACGTGTTTCCTCCAGCTCCCTTGGTGAGGAAATTTGGCAGGAGAGGGTAAATAACAGTGCAACCTGGAGACGCTAAATGAATAGCACGTGGTTCTAGCTTGAGTGGCAGGATTTCTCTGTTGGGGTCCTGCACAGTCATTTCTTCCACCTCGAATGTTTTTCAAAAATAAAACACTGAAGCAACAAATGTCAGCACAAACAAATAGTTTGCTTGTCTAATCCTGTTTTGAGGTTTGATCATGCATGTGCGTGACTGGTTTTGTGTGCCTCTGCAGAATCAAGGCTGTGATTAGTAATTAGTGAAGTTTTCTTTGGCTTGCTGACTGCAGGCAGAAGTTTGGGGACCGGGTTAGAGAGAGGTTTCATCTTAGGTGTATAAATCATACAGTTGAGCTTTTGTGGAACTTGGAAGACAGGAGCATGGTAACAAAATACTTCTATGAGAAATAATTTACCTTCTCAGGAATCAAGAGCTCAAAGCTGCCTCCTTATCCTCAGCAGCAAGGCTCACATCCTGCTTCTTTCTCTTTCTCCCTTCAGAAGCTGATCTAAGCTCACAACTTGCCTTATGACAAAGCTTGTAAGTGCTGACACTAGTTAATCTCTTTACAAATATTTGAACATATGTTGCTTTATGTTTACTTGCTTAGCATAACTCTCATTTACGAAGTCCAATTTTCTAGGAAAAATCAGTACACTGGCTATACTGGGGCAGTGTCTCGTGTGTTTGACTTTCAACACAGCTTCAGTTCTCTAGATTCTTTTTGGTGCTGGTACAGCAACCAGTCATGAAATACTTTTCCTTGTATTTGTTTGGTGTTGGTGAACCAACTATGATCTATGAAGCGCAGACGCTCTTATGAGTTTCCCTGTCCCAAATAACTTCTTGCATGAATTCTAATGTATTATAGCCACAGATCTGAAAGTTTAGGAAGTGTCATGGTTTGCAGGGTAATCTATTTCATTTGTTTAATGTTACTGGTAAGCACTGGCACTGTGGAAGACTGAATTCCCCATTTTTCTCCCACTTTATTACTGTCTGCAACAGTACGACTGACTGTAGATGGTTCTTCAGAGTCCTGATGAATGAAGCTTCCGTTCTTGCACAAACCTATCCAAAATATACTAACTCTAGTCTCTGTTATTTTGCCATCTTTCTGATGGCAAAATCCTCTTAGAGGCAGAGTTAGAAAGATGGGCCAGAGAGTTTTCCCTGAAATATATCCAAATGTATTACTTGTGACTCTGGAACTTGGAGTCCTTGCTTTTCCCATCTGCTGGTTTTCACAAGCGTTGGTATTTCTGGCTGGTGTTATTCAGTTTGTGTAATTTCTATTAACTGTGTTGAAATAACTTCTGAAGGCTGCAGGAATCATTATTTGGAAGGTTATCTTCTTGTTCTTACTGCAGCCATCTCTCCAAGTAGGTAGTGCATAATAGGATTTGGATTTCCAAGAACTCTTTGATTGTTTTTCTTTGAGTGATAAATGCTTGAGTTTAATTTGCTAATGCCATAATGAAATGAAATATTGTTTTTCAGGTTAATATATTGTGCTGAATTTCTGACAGATTACATTTTCTTTGAAAATTGCTTTTTAAACATTATAAATGATGTGGCTGTAAATATTCTCTTTAGAATTGGAGAAATGACTACAACAGTACTTTAAAGGTTGCTGAAAATATCCATCTGTGCTATTCTTGTCTTATATAAACAGTGTTTTCTGCTTTGTTGCAGAGAATCCTATACCACGCTTCCTAAGCTGTAGTGATGACATAGTGGAAAATAGAGGAAGGCTAAATGCAGCCATGTTAAAGATGTCAGCATTCTAGCAAAAATGTTATGCCTCATAACAAAACATATGATTTGAGTGTCTTGCTGGTTTTACCCTATTGAGGTTACTCTTATCTATCTGCCAAAGTGATCTGTGGAGGGTGAAAGAACGTGAAAATACTGTGCCGACTGTGTTTCAGTCATTCTCTGTGCTTTTTAGTTCATTTCTGAACAATGTGAGAGATGTATTTTTAATTTTTTATGGCTGTTTGGCAACAGAGGTGTGAAGAAAATCATGCTAGCTGGAAGAAATTCTTAATTAAAAAAATGGGGTGCTGCTGATATGGTACCTATCCTTTATAACACACTGCTGCATTTGTTTTTGTTGTTAGTGTTCTCTGATTCCTTCCCTCCCATTCCATAAGCTTATGGACATTCATTGCAAGCACCGTGTAGTCTCTGTTCTTAATTTCCCATTTTGAAATACATATATAGCTTCCAAATTAAAGTGCTGTGTGAAATTGCTTTTGATGGTTTGTTTGTTCACTTTGTTCCAAAACCTGTTTGAAATAGTAGGTCACTGATACATCTTTAAAAGGTACATCAAAGGACTGCTGTTCTTGATTGAGACATGGCTTTGTTTTCAAGTACAGCTGAGTGCATTCAAATGTTGATTGAGAAGAAAAAAGCCCAACAACTTGTTTTTCACAAAACTGCATTTGCTAGCAGCTTTCCCATTTATGAAGCATGAAAATGTGGGTGGCAAAGATAGGTGTCAGCTGTTGTGATCTTGTAATAGTAAATGCTTTCATGACTAATAAGCTAATGGCTCTCCTGCTAAGATTTTAAAATTGCAGAAATGTGGTCTCTGTGGTTCTGTCACAGAAGAGTTGGGTTCTTTGCTTACGTCGAAACTAATATCAAGTGGGTTGTGAGCCTTGAATTGGGAAAGGGGAAAATCTTGAAAGAGATTTCCTTGAAGATGACTAATATGATGACTCTGTCTCTTTTAGGAAATGACTTGCAGCTGAGTGAATCTGGAAGCGATAGTGATGACTGAACAAATCTTTGGCCTTAATGTATCACCTTCTTTTTTTTTTTTTTTTTTTTTGCTAAATATGTCTTAGCATCTGTTTTGCACTAAGATTAGATTACCAGAGACTGGAATGAATGTCCTTAATTTTTGATAATAAAGGCATCCTAATTTTCTACTGACACATCGAGTCCACAATACGGCAGCACTGATATATTGTCAGTGCTATGGTTATGTGTTTACCTTTCAGATTACTGTATTTACAGTAAAATTGTGTATGATCTGATTTTAATTGTTTTGCCTCAGCCACCTGTGTTACTTGAAAATGATTTGTAACAGATTTGTAACAGCTAGCTACTTTATATAAATAGTTATAGGATGGAGAAATTTCTGATATTTATGGAGGCAAGTTTCCTTTCTATCATTTAAATGTTGGATGCTGATCTCACAGCTTAAACTTGGAGGGTATAAAAGGGAGAGTAATGAGGTCTGCTGTGTCAGCAATGCTTTTTGTTCAGTTCACAGATTATACCTTTAAGGAAACTGCTGAATCATGTGGTCCACTTGCGCAGTTACAGTTTACAATTGTTCAACACATTGCTGAATTCCTAATTTCATTGTTTTATAGGACTTTATATTCTGAGCCTCAAGATTCCTGAGGGAACTTGTCTATTCTCTGCCTTTTTTATGCAACTTGAATAGGCTGGTCTTTTTACAACCTTTTTGTATCTAAATTTAGATAACTGCAGAGACAGCAAGGAATTTTCTTCATTTAATTCTGTAATGGAAATCAAAAATTTTCTTTGTAGGGGTATAAAAGTAATTTAATAAAGCAATATTTATCATTTTATTGTCTGCTTCTGTTTTCACCTTCTACTTACCGTAGTTGTGCCATTGAAAGGATGATGCCATTTTCCTGCTTTCTATTTCTTTATAACCAATATGTAATCCCCATCCAGCATGCAAGACCTGTGCATTTGTTGCTTTTGTATGCATTGAGACAGCAAAGCTCTTAAGAGAGCATTGTAAGTTTACAGCAATGCCAGGGACAGGTGAACGTATGTAAGAGATTGCATCCAAATGCAGTTGCTAAACCATTCTGTACTAGAGAAGAAAAGGTGTCTGCTTAGCTCTCTGCCCCCAGACTATGGCACTTGGCTGTGATCTACACCAGATAACAGCTTTCTAATGTTTCGCCTTTCTAAAGATGGGATCATAAGACAAAACAGTTTTCTGCTTATACTAAAAGTTTAAAAAAAAAAAAAATTATGTTAATGACTGTGGTTAAACAGATCTTTGAGAAGAAAAGGTTAATGAGCAATTTTAAGATAGGATGCAATGTAAATGAAGACTTTTTCAAAGGTATTGAGCTCTCTGATGAGCTATAGCGCTTGCTGTCGGAACTTTAGCAGGCTACTTTGTTCTTGGCTCCTGCTGCTGGTGAGGTTTCTATGATGATGGGAGGACCTGAGCTGTTACTGCTAATCTGTAATTGTATTAAAGCAGTGTCCTAAAATGAAATGTCCTCTTTTTGGCTTCCTCACACCCCACTGCACCCCTAATGGTTTGCATCAAAGCCTCCCCTCAGGCCAATGCTAATTTTTCTGTGTTTTTTTTTTTTTTTTTTTTTTTCTTCCTGAAGATACATGCATTTAGGGCATCTGTATGGCAGTGCTGACTAGGCTAGGATCCAAATTATGGGTAAGTGTTTACATTTCTAAATTATAATCATTCATCCTTCAGAGGAAAATGAACAACAAAAAACCACTGCAAGTGCAGCCTGCTTGTGTTTGATGTATAATTGTATTCACATGTACATGGGTGCTTAAATATAGCTCTGCAGGTAAAGCAGCTTTCCAAGTTCTTGAGTCTCAGGACTGTAACTAAGCCTGCTCTATCTTTAGGTTTTGATCTTCGTGTTAGAAGCTTTCTAGAACGGGAAGAGCCCTCATTAAGCTTTTGTACATCACTTAGTATAGAGTGGTTAGAGGTGAGCCAGTCACACCCCAGTATAAATATGTGACTTAAATGGGTGTATTCTGTCAAATGCACAGTTGTGATAATTCATGAAAGGCTCCCTTTAAATATCAGCCCAGGAGATAAGATTCTGGAACAGAGTTCCTATTGAGATAAGTGGGAAAAGATAACAGACCTTGAATGTGTGAAGAAAATGGTGCTGTGTGCTGGATGCAGTCCAAATGTATGCAGAATCGCTCCCCTTCTCTATGCTAGTGTCAGGCTTTGGCAAGCAACCTAAAGAGCTTGCTTGGATCTTTTGTTCTACAGAGGAGATTGGCTTGGGCCTCATTTGTGACCTTCTTGGGGCATTTGCTCCTCTGGCTCGCTTTGTGTGCTCTCCTGAGCAGGCTGAGCTACCTGTGACTCTTCCTTGTGTTACCAAATGGCAGAAGTGAGAAAAAGGTTGCACTGAGATCTGGAAGCATAAGAGGTATTCTTGCAGCAGGAAAACAGTTTAGGGCTTTTTTGCTCTTGCATTTTTTTTTTTTTTCCATAGGCCCTGACTTGAAAATTCTTTTCCTCTCCTTTGAAGTCATTTTTATTTCTGTTGCATTAACTAGTGATGAATGAAATCATTGTCTGCAGCACTGTCCCTACAACCTCTGAAAGCCTCTTTCAAAATAGTCTTCTGAAATGCGTATGGTTCCATCTCCTTGCTTTTGGCAGTTTTGTCTCTACATCCAGAGATACAGCATGTATGTGTGCATGCATCTCTAAAGAATGGATATGTCAGAAGAGTAAGTGCAGTTTTTATAGGTACCTAACCAAGCCACTGTGTGTGTTTGGGATTTGAGGAATATTTGCATGTCACTCGCACTGATAAATGAAAAATGTCTGCCAGTGCAACAGGAAACTGAATTTGGTCTGCCTTATGGCTGCTGCAGAAACAGCCCACCTGAGCCTTCCTCTCCTCACGGCACCTGATATGCATACGGTTTTTCTAGTAACTGCTTCTGGTCACAGTATTCAACTGTAGTAAGTTCTGATATGGTGATAATATATACTTGCTAATTGCAGCTATGTTGCCTGACAGCTTCCAGTTTTCTTAAGATCTCTGTCCTGCTCTTGTTTTCCATGAACCCTGCCTAGGGGCAGTGGGACAGGCTAAGGTGATCTCTTTTGGACAGCCTTGACATTGCTCTATTCCACAGCTTACACTGAGATTGCCATTTACTTGTAGTTTTACATCTATCTGTAATTCTCTCTTGAGATTCTTGCCACAGTGCTACAACGTGCCCTTAGGAAGCTCTTATAAACATCAGGCTCTGTATAATGTCCATGCAGCTGCGTGGTAAGCAATGATCTTGTTTCCTGAATAATCTTCAGAAATTATTTTGCTGTCCAAGCAGGAACTACTCCAGTTATTCCATCAGAATTTTTAGATCAATGTTTATTACTTTATTACATAACTATTTTGGAGGGAAATGGAAGATAACTTTTTTTTTTTTTAGAATAAGTGGCTTTAATGAGTTGCTCCTGTGTTAACAGACTGAATCATCTTGAGAAAGGAGCAACAGTATTTCTAAGAGTTATTATTTGTTGAGTCTTTCATGAGTGGTTTCTGATGAAGAGATCAACTCAGACAGTAGTTTGCTTAGGTTTGGGCCATAGAAGCATTTCATCATTTCTGGTTAACACTTCGAATTTTCTTTGCAATTTCTATACAAATGTTTCTGAGAACATCCTTCTTAAACAGTGCAATGAGGACACCTAGAATGGGCAAAAATGAAGTGTCAAGAGGAGGAAGGAGATCAACATGGCTTACAGTGGTTCCAAGCCTGAAATCTTGCCTTCATGTCGATTCCTTCCCTCGCCATTTTTTGAAGTCATTCAACTAACCTTGCAAGGATGTAGGGATGATCTGGCAGGATGTGGGGCTCAAATCAGCTTTTGGCAATGATGTAAAATTAAGAATGAAGGAGAGAGTTTTGAAAAAGGGGTTTTGCAATTTCTTAAAATCTACATTTCTGCTTTTTGGAGGAGATAAGGGAAATGGAAAAAGAAGGTGGAGATGTACTGAAATGAGGAGAAGTGTGAAATAATGGGTTCTTCCCCTGTTTAGACTTCAAACTTAGATAAGGGGGCAGTCATCCCAACCAAATCTGAAACGTGGAAGGGGGGACCGAAAGATCTGTCTTCACAAATCTTCATCTATTGTTCTGCCCCGTTAAATGAACTTATGGTGACAAGGTCACCTGATTGCTAATTGGGTAGCAGTTTTGTCCCAAGTAATCCTGGTTGTCCCTGCTTAGGAATAATGCACAATGACCTGGGTATTTGAAGGCAGCTCTCTGCTTACCAGTTATCTGTGTGCAGGAATGGACTGAGCTGGTGGAAGCTCTAAAAGAATGTTACTGCAACTTCTACTTCACAGTTTCCATGCTATGGTGGTGAAGAAAAGCTCCTGAATGTCAGACAGCTCTCAGAGTTTGTGTCAGCAGGAAGAGCTATTCAGTTCCTAAGAAGGCATACC